CTATCTACCCGTTCATGGAAGGTCGCCATTCCTGGCACTTGATTGCGACGCGGCTGCGGCGTATCACGAGCGCGGCGATCAGCCTATTTTAGCCATTTTCTCCCTAATTTACACTGTTTTGGCTGCTTTTCTCAAGATTAGTTGTTCCTTGTCTTCACAAGGTAAATTATGATTGAGATTCCTCTGATTTTTGCGTACAATTAAACAGTTAAGCAGACAATTGAACAAATACCTCAAGAAAAAATGACAAGCACTCTATTGTAAAAAAAGGCTCCACGTCCTAATGTACTTCATAAAGACAACAAAACAACTTACCTTGAAAAAATAGAAATACAGTGAAAATTAGGGAGAAAATGGCCAAATTAGGCTGGAAACAGCTGATCGCCGCGGTCGTGACGCGCCGCAGCCGCGTCGCGACCCTTGCCGCCTAATCAAGTGCCCGGATGACGACTGTATAAAAGACAAATAGATAGGAAATGGCCAGCAATCTTTCAGATAGAGTATGGCTGCTCCCTGATATAGCTTATGGCTAGCGCGGTCAAATAAGATACACTACACTCCATACCCCAGAGATGGAGATGGAGTGGCACGCGCGCGGTGCTTCATGCGAACGTGGTTTTCATGGATGTTACGGCATCTCCCAACCTGACTCTGTCTTTTCGACTCCGACTCTGTCTCGCTCCCGACAAAGAAACGATTACAATCATTTCAAAACTGCAATATCCCACCAGAAGCACAGCCGATGCCGCGTCCATTTGAAGCGTGCAGGACACCTCTTCCATCTCCGGTATATGAAGTGTTCTGCTCCTCCGAGCTTCCGACTTTCATGACGAAAAAACCTCAAAAGATATATGTCCTTGGATGGAGTGTAATATAGCTCTTCAAAACAAACTGTTTTTTCTAACCCACCACTAATTACAAGCTTTTTTAGGAACGCCGCATTTTCTATGCGGATGTTGGGTCGAATTCGATTGAGAGGCTCGACTTGGACGGCACCTTCCCTCAGACGGTCCAGAAGTACGACGTGGACGGTCTTGAAGGAATTGCAGTCGATTGGATCGGACGCAATCTTTACAGTCTGAGGAAGTTAGAGTTTCCACAGTTGTCTGAGAACTGGTCTTTAATCAACTTGTACTACATCCAAAAGGGGGGGGTTATAGGAGAGGGTATTTCTGACCTTTGTCCATATTTCTGCATACATGAGCATGATTTTTTTCTGTGACAAGTCCACCTAGGCGATACTTTCTTACTCTCACACGGCTTTTCGAACTGGGCACAGGGTTACAGAATCGTGATCTGCGAGGTGGTGAAGTCACTACGACTTCCCTCAAAATTTCCTCCATTGGCATAACCTCCTTCCCAGCGACTAGGTACGATCCTTTGATGGGACTCTTTCAACATAGCGCACCCTGATTAGATATGTGCAGCTGATATCGTCGCAATCAGTTAAGGCTGAAACAAAACACATAAAAGCATCCCACCCGCGGCGGTTCCACTACTGGGACGGGCTCCTTCCGCCCTCCTGCCGCTGCTCCTACTGACTGGGACGATATCAATTATGCAGTGTGGGTGCTTCGAGAGCAAGGGAGACTGAATGCTGGAGAAACTTCTTTCCGGGTTCTGTGTCCCTCCTGAGTGAGGAAACAAGTGACAGAACTAAGCACTCCATTCTTGGATAGGAACAATTTAATTTAACCGAAAAATCAATAGAGCTCTAAGAAAATTCTATTTCAGAGCAGATATCATTGTGCAGACGCTCACTGGCCGATATCGACGAGCTTTGTACAAAGGAGTGATGCGGCTTCCAAGAGCAATTGCTGTTCACCCAGCAAAAGGGTAAGTGCAGCCAAGATAGCTTCAATTAACATAAGGCAGCGCATTATGAACCACAATCCCACCACAATGTGACCAAGTATCACCCACAATTGCCGTAGTGTAGTTCAACACATCCTGTACAGCTGCGACAAAATCAACCAACGGGGCGTTGCCAGCAGATGCTGTGCAGCGCAGTCCCACCTGTACCACACTGATTCAGCGTGGCAGTAGTGTGCCGGTGTGGAACGTCAGTTCAAAGTCGCGGAATCGCACTACGATTTGACTCGGGGGATATGTACACTCACGCTGCG